CTCACTGAATGTTTTTATTTATTATTTTATATAAATATGTATTATAAACTTATGTGTCTAAAATATAAAACAAATATTTTATTTTATTTATAGCAGTATATCGGAGACCTCACTGTCTAAGAGAGCACGCCTTCCCCAGGAGATTATCATAACCAGCACTTTTGACCAGTTGCCATTCTGCACTCAGGGTCTCTCATAAACTTAATAAACATGGCTGAGATCTTTCTCCGTCAGACTCCAACAAGTTTACATTTCCTCAGCACCCACAGCGTTTGTCTTTGTCCCTCCACCTTACTCACTGGCCCACCCCCCGCTAGCCCATTACCTGGGGTGGGTGATAGGGCTGGAAGCAAAGCCCTCTGAGGAGGAGCTCCTGAGAGCTACAAGCCTCTCCAGCTCAGAGACATCCAGGGAGGGTTCTAGAGTTGGGTTGCGGTCCCCGCTGGGTTGCCGGCCATTGCCGACTGCAGTAGCCGTGTGTGATGATGGTTGGAACAGAATTTCTTCACCCCCAGAAAACTCTGACACCCCAGTACTGGCAGGAACAGGATCTAAGCTGTCCTCTCCTGCAGCTCCGGCGAGGGCCACAGCAAAGGTATCTGCAAGCTGCCGCGGAAGAGTGAGGGGGAGTCTGGGAGCTAAACAGAAGCCCAGAGACACCACAAATAGAGTGAGAGCTTTTCCCTCGTATCGATTAGCACAAACAGCTACCATAATGGGTAAATACTAGAGACTTAATGGGCCTTGAGGACAGACCATTAAGCATGAGCCTCTCAAGAGTGTCAACATGAACATAATCAGGCCAGTAATAGAAGCTCTGACCGAGCTGCAAAGCACTGGATTTCTCCCGTCTTTTTAAAGGGAGAATCCCTGGACGTCTGGGCCTGCGCATTCTTAACACTCACCACTCAGGAAATATAGAAACCGCTGTACTTTTTCTCACCTCTGCCAAAAACTGCTTCTAACTAGAAAAAAAAAAAAATTGGAATCTCACAAATTAAAGATTTTAAAAAGCCCTCGATCTTTCTTTCCATATTGTTAACACTAAATTGTCCCCAGCGATGACAGTGACTTGAGCATCTGCAGTGGGGATCACTGCCCTGCACTGCCCTCCGCTGTCTCCTTTCCCGTTCGTGACTGTCTGACATGACAGCCCAGCATTAGAAATAGCTGCACGCGGCACAGTAAGCCAGCACAGGTGTTGAAGTCAGATTATCGTCTGGGTGCAGCTCTCCACTCTGCTACACCCTGGCTTTGGGCAAGTCCTCCCAGAGTGTCAGCTTCTTCATTTACAAAACAGTACCATAATGGTACCTACAGCATCGAATCGTTGAGGGGGTAAAATGGAGTCATAGAAGGAGAAGCGTGAAGCCCAGTGTCCAGCACAGACACACCATGCACTGAAGGTTTACCACATAATGGTCGGGAGGACAACGATCATGTTCACAGAAAGGTTTTGGCAGACGTTTCTCTGGCTCCACATGGATTGGATTGAGTCTTTTTTGGAGGGGTAGAGGATGCCACTTCATCACTCAAAAACATCGAGATTGGAGTAAAAAGCAAAGAAGCCTAACACAGACATACAGCATGTGGCAAAAATTCTGATAGTTTTAAACTCCTGCCTGAACTCTAAATGCATTTGGACATCTGCAGACCCACTGTGTGCTGCGCATCATTACAGGTTCTGGGGATGCAGAAGGGGTGCAGATTGGCGATTGTCGTTTCTGAACTCAAAATCTAAGAGCAGAGCGTCTTAGATGCCCAGCCTTATCAATCACAGTGTGATGAGGGCTGTAATACCAGAGCCAAGGAAAAGGGTGCGGATTGGCAATTGTCGTTTCCGAACTCAAAATCTAAGAGCAGAGCATCTTAGACGCCCAGCCTTATCAATCACAGTGTGATGAGCGCTGTAATACCAGAGCCAAGGAAGAGATTGTATCTGCCCACCAAGAAGTGTAGGGCAAGTTTCATGAGGAGACATTTGAACTGCTCCTTGCAAGATAAATAAATCATCATGAGGAACAGCCCAGTTTGAGGAAACGTCAGAAGGTGAAACATGGAGACATAAAGGTAGATCATGACTCGTGAGGTTGGGTAGGATCCCAAAGTGTCTCAAGGGTCTGTTGGGAAATGTTTGAGAAATGCGATATATTATCTCCACGATGTGAAAATTCATAATTCACATTGGCCTACTGAAATCTTACAGTTAAGAAATCTGTTTCACTTTGTTAAATGACACCTCCTCTAACACACACACACATGCACCCTTTTTCCTTTGGGAAACACAGGTTTGTATGGAGGACTGGACAGAAAAACAGGTTGAGGCCAGAAGGGAAGAAATGTGAGCAGCACGATAAGGAGTTTCCCCTGTAGCTGCTCATACTGGAGACTGCGACCGCCTGGGGCCAAGGTTCCCCCAGAGCCAGACATCAGAGAGACCGACAGGAGGCATCTTCCTAAAGCCTCACTTTTACTCTTGTTCATATCAAAACAAGCATGCTTGAGATTGGAAAGCAGCACGTGCATGGTTTATAAAATAAAGTGTGAGGCTTCACACACATGTTGGGCTTACAGGGTCTTCTTCCGGCCATACTCTCGGATCCTGAGATCTTTCCTCTGCTTTCAGGAGTATCTTGTGGAAAGGTTGGCAGAGCAGTTCTGGGCAATGGGGAGATGACAAAGGTTCGGGACAAAAGCAGAGTACGGAAGGTGGCCCAGGGTCAGCCCTGTGCCTGGGTTTGCCAGACTGAACAAAGTCAGGGATCTGAATCGGATCCTGGCCCTGGCATATGAACTGAGAATAAAGGCAGCATAAAGGAGAGAGGGGTCGAATGGATTAGAGACTGGGACTTCTGTGCAAGCGATTGAATGCCTTTCTGAATGTATCTGTTCAAAGCACTTAACTAGAACTAAAAAATGAAAATGAGTTCCATATCGCAGGAATTTTCAGGTAGGTCGAGCTGGTTAGTTGGGGTGAGGGGGGTTGTTTATTTGTCTGTTTCACAATTTCAGAGTCTCGAGTCGCATGGTGAGCCAGGAAAAAAATCCATTGCCATCAAAATAGTCTCTCATTTATGATTTTGTTCTCCAACCCAGGTTGCAAAGAGCCATCTATCTACCGTGGAAAGTTAACAATAAAACTGGATGAGTTTCTCTTAAAAAACTTTTAAAAAGAGAAGGAGGAAGAGGAGAGGAAGACGAAGAAAAGAAGAAGAAGAAGAGGAAGAAAAAGAAGAAGAAAAGATCATTTCTTTCTCGTGTTCCCTGTGTAGCTTCAGGGTCTGAGAAAAACAGTCGAAATATCGTGATGGTTGGTAAAGGTGGGGGTGGGGGAAGGTGAGTGCTGTTCTTCTGCTTTGCAGCTCAGTTCTATTCTCCACCCCAGGGCCCCACTTAATTTGCGGAGTTGAGGGACAAAGTGCATTTGCCGCAACAAACACGGCAGCTGCGGGCGTCCCCTCCTGCTCACAATTGTGTTATCATGTCCCCAAGAACTGCTGCAGTCGGCCGAGGTGGGTGTTTATTGCTTGTGTTGCAGGAACTGGAAACTGGCAGTACTGACTTTTAAGTTAAAATAGATAACTATAAAAATAATGATGTCATCCCAGCAAGTGAATACAGTGGGAAGCTGTACCTGGGACAGTTCCTTCGGTACCCTCTGGTCTCTGCCCAGGGGGTGCCATCGGCGAGCTGGGCTCCACACGGCCATGGAAAAGGGCTCTGCTCTGTGTCTGTTGAGACACAATAGATGATTCGATCCTTGCCCAGTAAACGAAATATGACTGGACTACTGATAAACTGTGGAAAAAGAAAGAGTGATCGACGATTTAGTTTCCTTTAAATAATACCACGGGTCATCCTAATAGAAAGAAGAGGACAAAGAAAGATATAAAGAACAAAAGTCTTAACAAATAGAAAAACTAGAGAAAGATGATTGCATTACCCCTTGAGTGACTTCATTCTTTTTAAGAACAAAAACTCAATAGCAGCAAATAAGGAAAACAGGAGAAGATATACACAAATCAATTACCCTCCTGAAATAAATATGGTCATTAACAATCTAATTTTGAATAAAAGGCGTCTTCTTGAACTGTTTAGACTCAAAAGTTTTCATCTTTGACTTTCTTATTAGCCATTATTGGTATATCGTATATTGTTAATTGAATTATGTTGCCAACTGAAAATTTTATAATTCTATTATACGATTGTACGATTCTATTGTAATTGCAGATTATATTGAAAATTAGGAGATCAATCATTACTACTTTAAATATTTCTAATACATAATGCTTTTCTTCAGTAAAGATCATTTTCACAAACATTATCTCATTTATCCTCTCCCAAGGTAAAGATTATTGGCAAGTGCAATTTTTCTAGCTTTAAATATTCAGAAGGCAGTTGTTAAAATGTGATCAGTTTAGCTGAGCCCCCTCCCCTCCCCCCAGGGAGTTAAGGTACAAGTGAGAACCATGGTTCAGGCCTCAGCATCATCTTGGGAAAGGACCCCAAAAGTGAGAGAGCATAGGGCGGCTTTGGGGGAGCCTGCGGCTCGAGTCACTTAGCATCTTTTCCTGCCGAATGGAGATCGTAGCTTCTAAACCCCTTTCTACGTAGCACAGAGCAGCCGTGATAATAAATCTGAAAATAGAAACGAGGTGCTTGGAGAAATAAAAGTAAGTGTACAGGTTTAAGGACTTCACACACCACACGCCTCTGCACTGGATCAGAACCAACGGCATGGCAGAAGCTGGGTCATGCCCACAGCCAGGGGGTTCTGGTCTTTCCAAACAAGCCCAATCGTCAGGCCACAGTATTTTCCTCCCGGCGGATCTGCCTGCTGCGTTAGGCCACCGGGGAGGCGTGGAAAGAGGAAGCCCTGGCGTGGGGGCCACGTCCCGCAGCTCTTACTGTTCCCCGGGCAGGGCAGAGAGGAAGCCTGTGAAGCGGGATGTCTGGAAGCCCCCGCCCTTAGGCACCGCCTTCCTCTTACATACGCAAGGTGTGGGGAAGAGAAACTGAGGAACGCACACCCTTTCCTAGAAGAAAAAAAAAATCTCTCTCCTGGTAAATGCAGGTACCTGAAAAGAAGGGCAAAGCAAGTATCTCGTTTCGAGTAACAATGATGCTTACGCAAGTGCTTACTGTTGCCAGGACCTGTTCTGAGCACTTTGGCTGTATGGGCTCCTTACACAACCCTATGCAGCGAGTGCTGTCATTGTCACACCCAGTGGATGACAACAAGCCAAGGCGTAGAGACTTCGGTGGCTCTCCTGGGCCCAGGGAAGCATCCACCTGTCTGTCTGCCTGCGCCTCCCTCTTCCTCGGCTGTCTCCCTACCCTCCCACCAGCAGCTCTGTCCTCTAGTGAGAATATCCTGGACAGGTTGGCCAAGAGTCATCTGTGCCCAGGGAGGAGGGGACATCACACACTCTTGGACCACGGATAATGACAAAGAGGGGCGATCGGGGCAGATGTGTTTTAGTCACCCTCTACAAAGGCTCTGTAGTCGGGGCGGACCCAGCGACCCCCTCCTTGTTATAAGGTGGCCAGAGAGGCCGGGGACAGGGAATGCGAAGAATGGGGAGAAGCTCCCCTCTTTTCAAAGTGGAAGGCTCGGTCACCGAGAAGCAGCATTTCACTGTCTCTCACAGGAATCTGATGTCCCCCACGGGCCGAGCAGGTGCCTTCCACTGGAATGGTAGGTTTCTCTTCCGGGACTTGTCAGAGTGGGTGACTGTGTCAGCCTCTTCAGAGCAAGTCATCGGTTTGGAATGAAGAGGAGCAAAAACGAAACTGCCAGCTGTTCGACCGTCAGACGTTCTTCGAGCCTGAAGTAGGAATCCCAGGAAGTCTCGACTGCTTCTCACCGTCACTGCAGAAGAAGACATCCGTTTAGGGCAGACACACGTGATGTGGCTTCACCTGGTGATTTGTACAGAAGTTGTATGACTAAATGCTTGGAGCTGGAGACCAGCCCCCAGAAAGTAAACTAGTCAGGAGGAGAAAAAGAGAGAGAGAAGTTGAAGTGCTGTTCTACACCCCAAAATAAATTCCATTTGGATAGAAAGTACGTAAAGATGAAAGGCAAAATAAAAACTAGAAGCAACGGTTTGGTGTATTTTATGTTTTGTTTTGTTTTTGCTTTTAATATTGGAGTTGAATGTGCTTCTCTAAGCCCTAAAGGACAAGATAATTTTTTTAAAAAAATTCTGAATATGGAAGAACTCAAAAGACAGCTGAGAAAAGTATTTGTAAGATACAAAAGAGACTAATATACAAAGAGTTATAGTGAATCTGTAAAAAAGATGACCAAACTCCAAATTATCAAAGGACACAACAAAAATAAAATGAGCTCAATTGCAATGTAAAAAACAATGATAAATGAGACACTATTTTATACCTGCCATATTAACGAATTTTAAAATGTGTAATTATAACTAGTATTGATAGGACTGTGGAAAAACTAGGACACTCACTCACTAGTGCTAAAACTATAAACCAGGCAACTCTTCAAGGGGTCACCTGATAGCATTTTTTATATTTATATTCTTTATATTCTTTATCAGTTACCTCTGATACCCATGGATGGATCTAGAAAACCTTATAGTAAGTGAAATAAGCCAGGCCCCAAATGACAAATATGATATGATTCCACTTATACGAGGTACCTAGAACAGGCACATTCATAGAAACAGAAAAAAGATTCAAGATTACCAGGGGGTCAAGGGAGAGACAGATGGAGAATGACTGCTTAATGGGGACAGAGCTTCTGCTTGGGATCATGAAAAAGTTCCGGAAATGGATAGAGGCGATGGTCATACAACACTGTGAATGTACTAATACCAGTGAATTGTGTACTTTAAAATGGTAACGTTTACGTTATGTGTTTTTATCTCTCTCTCTCTCTGAAAATGATAAAGTTTACGTTATGTGTTTTTATCTCTCTCTCACACACACACACACACACAAAATGTAGTTACCCTTCAATCTAGCAATTTCACTTGTAGGAATTTTTTCTACTTACATACTTGTATAAATAAATATGTAAACTGTGAGTTTCACTACCCAACAGGCTTTCTCCACTTATTCTCTGCCAACAGAGACTTAATGTATGTTCAAGTGGCAAGCGAAGACCTCTTGTGTTCAAACAGGTTCAGCTTCTCCCTACCCTCAGACTAAAACTGGTCCTCTTCACCAGCGACCTGATTCTGCCCAGTGACAGGAAGTCTCCTGAGAGGGCTGGTAACTCCTGAGAATACATCTTTCCCCCCAGATGCTTTATTCTAGTTTTGGTACCGGTGTGAGGCCCACAACTGTAGCAGTTGTCCTCAGACTGGGTATGACAAAGGGAAGAAACCCAACTAGCTGACGATGGCAGGGAAAGGAGCAGGAAAATAGAAACACCTTAGAACCTTGAGGACATCATCAAAGCTCTACTTTCAGAAAATTGTCTCTGTTAAGTTTCTGTAAATCGGCTTTTCTGACACTTGCAACTGAAAGAGTCCTGACTCACAGAATGATTGAAAGTATAAGGATATCCATGGAAATTGTTTATAATGCCAAAAAGTAGAAAAAGTAAAAACCTATCAATAGGAAACAAATCAACCACATGACCTCTAGAAAATTGACTATTATGAAATTATTGAAAAGAAAAGATGTCAACATGATTGTTAGGTGAAAAACATAAATGTCGAATAGAATGCTTTAACATGTGGCTTTGTAAGGTTACATGTTTTAGAGATATCCTATTTATATATGCTTATGTGCATGGGAAATTTCTGGAAAAATGTATAAGAAACAGCAATGGTTGCCTCTGAGGAATCAAATTGAGTGTCCAGGACAAAGGAAGGGAAACTTTTATTTTTTATTTTCTACCCTTTATATTGTCTTAATATTTTTAAAACATATAATAATATCTTTAAGCTATTTACATTTAAAAAAAAATTTTAGCCACTCATTTTTAATTAAATAAGTGACTAAAAATCAGGGTCATAAGTTTTTAGGGCTTCCTAAATGCAGCTTTGTGTCTGTGATCATTTTATTTTCCACGCATTTGACTTTGTATTAACAAACACTCATATGAATATTTAGAGTCATTATTTAGCACCAGGCCCTGTGCTGGGCATCGAGTGCACATGCATGACAGGCTAACACGACCTTTGCCTTCAAGAAGCTCACTGATTAGGGTGGGATCCCAGCAAAATAACAGTGACTGGGACACAATAAAGCAGTCACCGACTGTCAGCGGCCCCCTGAGGTGTTCCCTCTGACCTGTTATTACATATGTTGTCTTCGTTCTGATCACGATCCAATTCTGTTTCCTTCAGGTCACCTCTTATTAGAATTCGGTGTCACTATATTTTGGGTCATATCTACAGATTTTCCTCCCTAATGTAGTGTTTTGATTCTTACACTAGCCAAAGAACTCTGGGTGCCGACATGCAGATCTCCTCACGCTGGGAGTGGCTGGTCATAAACTGGGGTGGCCAGAGCACCCAGGGAAGTTGCCTCTGAAACGTCATTAGCCTCCTGCATTAACCCCAGCATGTTATACACATACTACCGTTTCTAGCTGCGTCATGAAGTGGCAAAGTTTGGGAAGCTCTGTTGGAATAGCCTGAATTTCAGCTGTAGGTGTACGTTGCTGTGGGAACCAATATATTAACCACATATATTTTTTTTCCAGTCCTTACCAATAGAACAAAATGATTGCATAAAACAATATGTAGAGAGTACATTTTATTTTCACTTATCACCTTTTAATTCCCATCAAGAGAGTTAGCAAATATCAGCAGTAGAGGAGACACTGCTGATGTGTTTGAGGTCACCTGCAGCTGCAGAGACACTTTTCTGTCTACACTTAGCTACCACCTTCAGCACCTACAGCGTTCTTCCCTGCTTTTTCTAGCTGGCACCTTGGAAGCTCGATCCAAGGTAGGCAGGTGTGCCTCTGAGGTATGTGTGTATGGTTGCGGGGCTACTGTCAACCAATAACTAGCCTGCTCCTCCATCTTCCTGGGGGCCGATTCGGAGGTGTGTTTCATGTGGGTTCTCAGAGGTCCCCGCTGGAACTGAGCCCTGGCTGCCCACAGCAGTGACCTGCCCAGTCTCACCCATTGTAGGTGTCCCTCTTGTTCCTGTCTCCCTCTCTCCTGTTCCGCATCTGTGCTTCCTGGGGCCACCTTCCAAATAAACTACCTGCACTTGAGTTCTTTCTCTGATTTTACAAGTACCTGAACTAATATGCAGCAGGAAATGCTCTTTTCGCTCCCCAAATAATTTTAGTTTTAAATAATGAGAAAAAGAAAGTCTATTCCACACATACACATACATAGAATACATGAAATTTGTTCAGAGTAACTCTATATATTATAATAAGGACAGAATAATTTTTTTTATAATAATGCAGTTTGTGCCCTCTTATAAAGATGAATATTAATACAGAGATTAGCTATATGGTTTTCACAATAACAAATATTTCATGCTTATCTTTGGCTACATAATTGCTTCTTAGGATTAAGCCAAACTTTAGCCCAGGAAACTCTTCTGGGACAAATGCAAGTTGGAATTTGTCACTAGGGCGCTAAGGCTCCCTGGGGTCTCTCAAAGCCTCTCCCATACGTACCTGAAACTGTGTCACCTGGTGAGTAGAAAGGTCTGCTGGTATGAATAGTGATGTGGTGTGTCCTGGGGTTCTGAGGCTGAGCTTGAATGTGCTTGGGCTGCATGTCCTCACAGGCCCCCGAGCTGGCACCATGGGAAAAGGCAGAGGAGCAGGAAGCCAGGCAGAGGGTGGCATAAGCCCAGCCAGCAATGGCAGCAGAGACCCTCATCCTGAACTTTCTTGTGTCACAGGAAACAACAGCTTCAATCCAGATGCTATTTAAGAAAATGATATGATGTCTTTTTGAATGTGACTGATCTGAATCCCACACTGCCTTTAAGACTAGTATACCTTTAACGCTGCCTCCCCATATTGCAAGCACTCAAGGTCAAGATCAAAAAGACACACCAAGCTGTAAGAAGTGTTTCATTTCTTTTTAAATTTTAAGACCCCCATAAGACCAACTGCTTCCTTTCACAGAGAGGATTTAATAATTAAATCAAAGAAATAAGACAAGAAAATATTTGTATCCTAATGTGAACTCCTTACAAGCCATCTGATATCTAAGGCTAGTATGAGCCACGCTACATTATAGCTGAAGGGAGACACGCAGGGTTCCAATGTGGTCAGGCAGCGTGGCATATGGTGACTCGGATTAACGGTTTTATCTCTATAATTGCAAATTACAGAGTTAAATGCCACAAAACTCTCTGCCAACTATTAGTTCCTTGTCCTTTCTCCTATTGACCGTTTTTAGTTATTTCACTACTTTTTTTCACAGAGTAGATGGGCAGAGAAAGTCACACCCAACCCCATCCATTCTAGATCTTGTTAAATATAGTGGCAAAAAAACTGGCTGGGGAATGGAATAAAACGATTAGATAAAATAACATGAATAGAGTCAATTTAATTTTCGTTTGCCACCTTGAATGCCCATCAATAAAAAGAATTAAAAGTCGACTGTGTAAAAGTTCACAGATGAAAATAAAATGAAGGATAGCAAATAAGACAGGTAAAGAGCTCTCTGAATAAATATTTAGGATTCTCAGGGATTTAAAAAAAAAAGGTTGTTTTTTATAGTCCTATGCACATGTATTTTAAAAGTTCTGCTAATATTTTGATCTAAGAAGCAAGAACAGCCCTCTTCTCTAGTAAGTTGGTTTTAAAGGGAAAAAAAGTAAAAATTTAGTAAAACTAGCTATAAAAGCAGTAAATTAAGGAGATAATCCATATAACCAAATAATCAAGTGTCATCCTCTCCTACCTTACCTTCACACACCGTCACTACTGCCCTCTACACCGACGAGACACAGGGAGACAGAAGTATGACCTATAGATCAGATCTTAGACTTGTCTTCAGACAACACCTTTCTCTGCTAGGTTTGCTTCCCAAGTGGTGAAACCCTCTACACCACAGAAAACCACTTCTACAATCACACTAAAGGATAATGAACAATGAGTTGTAAAAGCACATTCTCAGTCTTTGGGACCCAGGGCCCTGCCCGTTTTCCAAAGGGCCGCATAGAAAATGCCCCTTGCATCTCGGTTGATGGCAGAAGGTGGTCTCCTCTCTCCACAGGCAGATCAAGCACAGATGCCCACAGAGGAAGAGGGAGAGCGCCACGTCCCACCGACCACGTCTGCAGCCACAGTCCCACCCTCCCCTCCTGGGATCTCACAGTTTCTGCTTTCCCACCAGCACCTTGTCTACCTGAACCGGGGAAAACACACACTCACCTAGGCGCGCACGATCTTTCCTTCGGGCTTGATGGATCGGCTTCCCCCTCCAAGTTGCAAAGACACATCCTGTAAACAGGTCTTCTCATCTCTCTTCAACATCTCCTCTAATGGGCAGGAAAACAGCTGTTACCCTAATCCTCGGCATCCACAGGGACTGTCCCTCCATGTCCAAATCCATCCTTAATTGGTTTTCTCTAGGACCACAAGCACATACTCACACACAGTTTCCATGTCGACATTGTTCAAACCCATGTGAAGGATGGAACAGAACTGGAACTGGTTTGGCCCACAACTGGCCAGTGGCATCCTCAGCAGGAGCCGGACGCCTTCATCTCAGTATCCCTGCCCAGGGGAGAATGACTGAATCAACAAACCTCAGCATTCTCTGCTTCTGAGTTAATGTGGGCTGAAGACGCCTTCCCTGCTGAGGTGAGATTAATGCCAGAGCCAGAGAGCAAAGTTCATTACGCAAAAAAAAAAAAAAAAAAGTTTCACAGCACACTCCCTCCCCTCTTGGTTGCACTGAAGCTGTATTTCGCAAATTTGGACATGATAAGGATTACCCGAGATGCTTGCCCACAGCACAGAGACTGTAGATCTCAAAGTAGGGCTTGCAGAGCACATCATCAGCATCACCTGGAAACTTGTTAGAAGTACAAGTTTCTGGATCCCACTGAATTGGAAACTCGGGATGGGATCCAGCAATCCGTGGTCTGACACGCCTTCTAGGTTATTCTGGCACAAGCAGAATTTGAGAAGCTCTGGTTTAGATCCCCTAGGCTTATTTTCAGACCCGTGAAATCAGAATCTGCAGGAGGGAGTACTGGAAATCTGTCTTTTTATTACACGCTCCCAAGAGAATCTTTTGACCAGGCAAGTTAGGAAAGCACTGAGTCGAAGAATCAGCACCAAGTCAGTAAAACCATCAAAACTCTAGAGGTTCATCTCATCTGGGATTAACTGATGAAGACGTTGGGCTCCTCGAAGGACATTTGACCAACTACAAAGTTATTAAGATGAGCATCCGAACACCAAATTTGTACCAGACATTTATTTGGGCAAAAACCAAAGAGGAATTAGACACTATCCAGATCCATAAATACCCACAACAAAATGGAGGAGACTCAAAAAGCCCTATGATATATGGTTCTATCTATATAACATTCTGAAAATGGCAAAATTGTAGAAACACAAACACGTAAGTGGTTGCCGGGGGTTGGGGTTATAGGGAGGAGTGAATATGAGGGCAGCGTGAGGGAATTTGGAGGTGATGAAACTGTTCTGAATCTGTTGTGTGGGCAGGCACACAACCACACGAGCTTGTTAAAACTCATCGACTGTGCACCAAAGCTGCACATAAGTAAAAACTGTGTAAATAAAAAAGTAGAAAAATGAAAAATAGAGATGATAGATGTACACGAGTAATTATTAAGCAAAGGATAAGTGGGATATTGTAAACGAGTCACAGGAGAGTCATTCTACGAGAGCCCAAAACTTTTTCACAGAGGTTACATTTGTACTGCATCTTAAACAGCGAGCAGAGTTTTCCCTGGCAATGAAGCACAAAGAACATTCTAGAATAAGAGGAATATATTGAATAGTTTTTACTCTGCGCCCTGACTACAACCCCTGTAGAGTCTCACTGTTCAAAGGGTGGTCCATGGGCCAGCAGCATCCACGCCATCTGGGAGCTCATTAGAAATACAGATGCTCAGGCCCCCACTGCGCATCCACTCTGTTGGCTTCAGCAGTTCAAACAAGCTCCCTAGATGATTCGTATGCATATTAAGGCCTGGAAGGACTGCTCTCTAGAGAATCTGCCCACTTCTCAGCCCTGGGAGGAGCCCCTACATACTGTGTGATAAGGTCCCCCTCTCGCCAGGACTGATTGGTCAGAGGTGGCCACTTTCACCAAGACCAGTCAATCCACTGATTGGGCAGCAACCAATCAGGCTGCCTTGAGAAGATAGACTTCTCACAAAACACAGATCATGTGAGCTACAAGGTTAAGGAAAGCTAGGATAGGACTAGGTGACAGAAATTTCATTTCTGAGAACTCTCTTATTGGAACTAGTGTGAGAGGGCTTTTCGTGTGTGTGCTTGCTTGTTTTTTCCATCATGAACCTTGAGCGTGGAGTCCTGAAAGGGCCTGGCATATATGAGACACGCCTAGAAAGAAGGCTTTAGGGAGGAGGAAAGCAAGGCTGAAAATTGTGGCAGCAACCAAACGGAAGGGATTTGAATATCATAGTGAGGAGGTCGAACCATATTCGGTGGGTAAAAGGAGCCAGAGGTCTCTGGAAATGGAGCATGTGCCTTCGGCAACTCATTAACAACTTTTTCCCCTTTTTCCTGTCTTGGTCATGAAATTCAGTTGAAATTGACTAGTGCTTTTACATAGAGCTTGGCTATTCCAGTATCATTATTGCAGCGAGCATGTTAATATTTGCCTAGATAAATTTTTTTTTAAGCCTACAGATTTCTGGAATGCTGGGACAATCTGTAAGGAAAGAGAAAAATTCTCAGCATTTTCTTCAAACTCAGCTTCAATTTACTTAAGAATGGGAAATCAATGGACATTTACGTACATATAGCCGGCTTGTTGACTATGGCTTCATTTTTCTTGCAACTATGTACTCTCTTCTATTAAAAAAAAGAATGGTTTAGTGCTCTTTTTCTATCTGATTATCTTTTTTTCTCTCTGCTAAAGAACATTACAGATGAACAGGACGTTCAAATGCATCAGTATTTGAACGCTTATTATTTGCAAAGCAATATTTAAGACAGTCAGCAGGGGTTATCTGATATGAGAAGGGTACCAGGGGGATCTCTCCTCTTCAGGAATTGACATTTTACTTGGGGTGAGGCAGCAAGATGTAGAAGGAAGTCTCTCAAGTCAGACGGCATGTTAGTTGTGTGACCTCAGACAAGTGAATTAATATTGATGAACCTCGATTTTCCCATCTGCAAAATGGGAGACTTAGATTTCTCATGAGAATGCCGAAGGGACTAGATGTACTGGCAGAGTGATGCACAACGATAAGTGAAAGCTATTATCACAGGAAGATGAAAGTCAGGCTACCGGAAGTTAGAGCAGAGAGGGAGAGTTCAACTAGAAGCAGGGAAAGATGGTTGAGTGGCAAGTGGGGTTTGGCTAGATCCAGAGGGGTGATGCAGCATACAAAGCAGGAGCGGGGCTTGAACAAAGGTGCGAAAGTGGGAGGACTAGACAGTGTCTGCTTTAATTATCCGGAAATAAAACGAGGCATACTTGACTTAGGGTGATAGAGACAGTGACGTTGACGGGAGTAAATGGAAGTTAAAGGAAAGAATCAGTATGATTTAAAGACTGTATGGAGGCAAAGGAGCAGGGCTTTTTTAAAGACTGGTATTTAGAAAAACTGAATGAACTGTATAACCTATATCTGAAATAGGGAAGTTGGTGTTTTCAATTTCAGATATGCTGAAAATGCACGCAGCATCCATTTA